GGGATCAACTTGAAGGGCAGAGACCAGGTTTGAGTTATTTCTGCATTCCCAGCACCAAGAACAGAGCCATTCCCAGCCTCAGTTCCCAAACCTAGGCCAGAACACCCAGCTCTTGGCAGCAAGTTAGATGAACTGGCTGGCACCTCCATTCTCCCAACTTCTTTTTCTTCAAGGATCCAGGGCTATTGGAAGAGTAACCCATGTCCCACCCATTGTCATCCAGAAGTGAAAGGCTGGGGACAGTTTAGACCCTAGGCAGTGCTGCCACAGAGCCTAGGCTGTGGGAAACAGGAAGCATTAATTGACCAGAGGAAGCACCACCCTAGACTCAGCCTCCCCCAGACATCCAGCACCCAATCCTGCCCTGCCCTGGACTCACGTGCCCAGAACATCTCTGAAGTTGTAAATGTCCGTAATGTCCTCTGCCTGCTTCCATCTGGGGCCTTCCACTGCCCCCGGCATGGCCCACTGCCCCCCGGCCACAGCCAGGGCTCCTGCAAGGAGAATGGAAGGAGGAGATTCAGTGGTGCCCAGTCTTCTGTCTGGAAATTTGCTGCAGGCTCCATTCAGTCATTCAAACTGCATTTATTTATCCTATATTCATCCACTTGACAAAATAATTCAACAAACATTCATTTGTTTATTCAACATTCGGCAAATTCTCATGCCTAGAGAAAAACCTTTCATGGTGGCAGCAAAATTCTTTATTTAACAAAGTCATGCATTCATTCATTCATTTATTCTAGTTCACTTCCCAGTTTTCCCCCTCTCCAAATCCATGCACCCAGGGATACCTCAACCTCTGGCAGTACAACAGTTAAACCCCCAGAGCAGCTAGTAGAAGCCTGGAGGATCCCGTTGTCCCTAGAACTAGTGATGTCGCCACCCCACCCTGGAGATTGCTGGGGTGTCTCCTCGCCCTCCTCCTCCCCCCTTCCACCCCCTGACCTCTTGGAAATCAGGTTTACAGCAGCCTGGGCTTCCAGCAATATCTCAGCCACATTTTTAAATAGCTCTTTTTGCACTGTTACCACAGCAACAACAGCCACAGCTGGAGGTCCCCAGACCTCTCCCTCCTACTCCCCATTTGGGTCCCGGGAGCCTGAGAAATGGTCCTCCCCACTCTGTCCCGTACTGGCCCCATCTCATCCTATCCAGCCTGGCCCTTCCCCTGCTGAGATCTGTCTTATCCAGCAGGAGAGGGTGGGACTTCTCTCCCATTTATCAGATGAAGAATGGGGAGACTGAGGTTGGAGTTGGGTAGAGGCTGGGTCCAGAGGCCCAAATGACACCCGGCCTAGGGCCCCCAGCTAAGCTTGCTGAGGGTAAAGGCCATGGAATGCCCTCGGCTGATCCTTCCAATATGAAGCCAGAATGGGCCCCATTCAGAGAACACAACCTCTCGATCCATCCGAAGAGGATGAGGCCAAAACAGAGCCCAGCATGCTTTGTGACCTCAGGGAGAGCACTTTCCTTCTCTCTTTTCCTCTAAGGGAGAATGAGGAGCAGGTGTCCTGACTAGAGCCTCTGGTGTGAGATTCAACTCCTGGAAAAGGACCTTGTTCCCAGGGGACCCTGGCCACTCATCCCAGGGGCAGAAACTTCTAGGAAAGGAGACTTGAGCGTAAGATGTAGAGACAGACCTGGAGGCCTAGGAAGTACAACCCTCACAGATTCACAAACATCCCTGTAGCAGACACCCACACCAAGCCCCCTCCACAGCCCTAAACTCAAACACCTGCCTCCTAGATCCAGTACACCTTGTATTCAGATCCCATGACCACACATATGCTCCCAGACATCAGCACATGTGTCTACACCACACACTGCTTCAGACAGCCTTACACTCGAACATCTGCCTGTCTACCCAGACATCCCTCACCGAGCTCCTTCTTCCACCCCAAAACACACATCCACCCACACCTGCACAAGATGACACCCAGACACACACACATCCTCATATACCAGACATGCCCTACACCCTCCAGCTCCTCTACCCCATCCCCTGGAAGCTCCAGTATTCCAAACCAAACCCCAACTCCGTACACACCTAACTCCAAATATCCTCGGTACACAATTCTACACCCCCTTCTAACTCTGACTTGAGACCCTTAGAGCCAAATACCAGCACACACAACACGTGGATACCGCTCTAACAAAAAAACACGCGCATTCCCAGATCCCCCACCCATGTCTGACCCACACGACTGTCCTAAGACGTTAGCACACTCCACAAGCCTCCCACCCCCACCCCATGGATACCTCCAAATCCCCACGCCCTTCCACTGTGGGGCCAGCTGAAGGCGCTTACTCAGGCCCCTTCCTCTATTACCCACTCAGTGTCCCATGGGCCCACCTGGCACTCGCTGGGTCTGGGGCAGAGGGAGAGGAGAAAGGCCCAGCCCTGCCCCTCAGGGTCCAGCCCGCCTGGTAGAGTGCCCAGTGGCCACTCCTTGGGAAAGGATACCCAGAGACTGAGGGCTCCCGCCGCCCCTCCGCAGCGCCCAGGGGTGCAGGAGTGGGGGGCTAGGCTGTACCTGCAGCTGCCCCGCCGCGGGGCTGGCTAGGAGACCCGCAGTGGCTGGCGCTGAGCTCCGGCCGCGGTCCGCACCGTTGAGCGCCTGGGCCGCCCGCCGGCTCTCTTGCTGGGGCTGAAGCTCGGCTCGGCTTCGCTCCGCCAGCTCGCTCCGCCGGCTCCCTCCGCCCGCCTGCGGCTCTGATGTCAGTGGAGGAGGAGTCTGTGGCGGACGGACCCGGGATTGGGAGGCGAGGCGCCGCTCCAGGGCTGGGGAAGGGGCGCGGGTGGAGGCCACCTCTCTGGTTCTGGTCAGAGATCGCCTGCTAGACGCTTCCCGCCCTTGGTCTTCAGCAGCGATCCATTTCACAGCGGGGACAACTGAGGCCCAGAGAGATGATTTTCAAATCAGCAGGTGGTCGGAAGCAAAGCAGGATTCCAACCCCGTCTGTCTGAGGCTAGAGGCCGGCCAAACTCGTCCTGTGGCCTGGTAGTTTTCTTTCAGACCGCTTCTGAAACCTCCCTTAGGGCTCTGTCGCCCTTCCCCTCTCCCCAACTCTCCTGTGCCCTGAAGGGAAACAGGCCCTCAGAACTGCAGGGAGAAGGGGGGGCTGGTGGGGGTTGGGGAGCAGGGGAGTGGGGAAGGACCTGGAAAGAGTAGGCAATGAAGAGAGTTGAGACGGCCATAGGGTGGCGGCCCCATTTGGCAGGTGGGAAAACAGAGGCCCAGGTCCCTCTGCAAGACGGAGCTGAGGCTTCAGCCCCAGACACTTGCTCCTCACAGTGGGTGGTGGTGCCCAGAGGTCCTAGGGAGGGAGAAGTTAAATCTGGATCCTGAAGGAAGCAGGCCAAAAAGGACCGAGGTATCACGTGACTGGCTGGGCTCCAGGGTTTGATGGCTGGGAGCCAGATTAGGGGAGGTGGGGGACAGAGCCCGCAACTAGGACAGAAGGCAAGGGGCCAAAGGTCGGCTTGTGCAAGGCCTTCCTTGGGAAGAAATTTGGTGCCGGGTGGAAGAAGGGAGCTCAGGGAGCAACCCGCAGGAATTGGGGACGGGGCTGGACTGGGGGCAGCCAGAGGAGGCACGGTGTTTAGGACACCACTCTATCGCCAATGACCTCCAAGTGGAGGTCACCACCCACTCCCTACTCCTGAATTCCTGCATTTTCCAGCTGGTGGTGGGGAGAAAACAGTGCTTATCCCCAACTCATTTATTTTTATTTTATTTTATTTTTAGACAAGGTCTTGCTCTGTCACCCAGGCTGCAGTGCAGTGGCATGATCACTGCTCACTGCAACCTCAAGCTCCTGGGCTCAAGTCATCCTTGTACCCCAGCCTCCCATGTAGATGGGACTACAGGTGCGTGTCACCACACCTAGCTAACTTTTTTATTTTTTGTAGAGATGAGGGTCTCACTATATTGCCAGGCTGGTCTCAACCTCCTGGGCTCAAGCAATCCTCCCCAATCAACTTCCCAAAGTGCTGGAATTACAGGCATGAGCCACTGCACCTGGTCAATTTATTATGCCCATCTTACAGATGAGAGAGGAAGATAGCTGAGGTTCCTAGAAAGGCTTTGCAGTCTAACTGATCCTGGTCACGCTTTGCCTCTCTGAACCTCAATTTCTTACTTGGGAACATGGGAATATTGATGATTGACTCAGAGTTCTGAGAATTCTATGAGATAATGATATGAAGTGCCTAGAACACTATTCAAAACATGAGAGCTAGACTCAGTGTAAACTGGAGAGAGAACTTCATTTGGCCAGGAAGAGGGGGTTTAAGGGATCCCTCTTCCAAATCTCAGTATCTCAGACTTCTTAGTTTATGGAAAAATCAATCTCCTGCTTAGGGCTGAGCCCCGACTCTCTGCTATACCCGCCAAGCATGCCTACTGAACTGGGGGTTCTTTTACCACAAATTCCTGTTTATCTTGATGACAACACTCCCTGAGTGATAAGGTGGCCTTTGTCCTTCTGAGGCTTGTACAACTTCTTCTCTTCCTCCTTTTTTGAAACAGAGTCTCACTCTGTCACCCAGGCTGAAGTGCAATGGTGCCAACTCACCTCACTGCAACCTCCACCTCCTGGGTTCAAGTGATTCTTCTGCCTCAGCTTCCCAAGTAGCTGGGACTACAGGCGTGAACCAGCACACCCAACTAAATTTTGTATTTCTAGTAGAGATGGGGCTTCACCATATTGGTCAGGCTGGTCTCGAACTCCCAACCTCATGTCATCCACCTGCCTCAGCCTTCCAAAGTGCTGAGATTACAGGCATGAGCCACCATGCCCAGCCAACTTGTACAACTTCTATAGTGTGCTCTATATTTTTCCTGCTTTTGAGCATTTCTGAGTGTGCTCATGCTTTCTTTTCTTTAAGAAACACATTATCTTTACTTTGTATTTCTACTGAGCAAGTGATACATGGTCATGGCAGGAAAATGGCATAACATATTAAAAACACACACAGACTATCTGATGAGATTTTTTTTCACTTCCTAAATGACAGAATCCCAATCTAAACCAGCTTCATTCAAGAGGAATCTATAGTTCACAATAGCTGCACAAGATTGCAGGAGAAACACCAGGGATCGAGGCTTGGAGACTGGAACTGGAGGTGTAGTACTCTTAGAATTTGTTTTCTCTGTCTTCTCTCCTCTCTCCTTGTCTTGATTTCTCTTCACATGTTGGCCTCTTTTTCTCTGCAGAGTGATCTTCTACTTGGCAGGAAACATGGAGTGAAGCAGTCCCAGCTTTCTAATTAAACACAGTAGAAGGAAAGCATCCTCCCAATTTCCTATCTCAGACTCAGGGAAGGACTCTGGCTCTGCTTGAGTGATATGGTGACACGTTCACCCCTTGGCCTCCAGAACTGTTGCCAAGATAATTAGGGTGCTATATTGAACAAGTGTACTGTAATGGGCAGCCATGAGGAATGGAAGAGGTATCTTGTCCAAAGGAATTAGGGGTGCCAGGGAGACAAGATTAACACATCCCTCTCAGCCAGGCTCCCACCAACCAGAGATAGCCAGTGTTCACATTTTTAGTACAATTCTCCCAGATGTTTTTGGATGCATATACATATACATCCTTCTGCAGCCCCCAGTCCCAATGAGCACATTTCAAGGTACTAATCAAAAAGTGAGTCAAGGGCCTGGCACAGTGGCTCATGCCTGTAATCCCAGCACTTTGGGAGGCCTAGGCAGGCCGATGATATGAGGTTAGGAGTTTGAGACCAGCCTGGACAACATGGTGAAGCCCCATCTCTACTAAAAATACAAAAACTAGCTGGGCACGGTGGCATGCACCTGTAGTCCCAGCTACTCAGGGGACTGAGGCAGGAGAATCACTTGAACCTGGGAGACGGAGGTTGCAGCGAGAAAAGATTGTGCCATTGTACTTTTGCCTGGGTGACACAGGGAGACTTCATCTCAAAAAAAAAAAGGTGAGTCAAGGAAAGTCAAATGTTCACAGGGAAAACAGGGATAATCTTTCTTTTTTGTTTAATATATGACAAAACAGCGCAAACATCTCCATCAATTCTGTCACCCAGGCTGCAGTGCAGTGACACCATCTTGGCTCACTGCAGCCTTGAGTTTCCAGACTCGAATGATTGTCCCACCTCAGCCGCCTGAGTAGCTGGGGCTACAGATGTGCACTACCATGCCTGGCTAATTTTTTTTTATTTTTTAATTTATTGTAGAGATTGAGTCTCCCTCTGTTGCCCAGACTCCTCTGGAACTCTGGATTCAGGTGACCCTCCTGCTTCGGCCTCCTGGAGTGCTGGGATTATAGGTGTGAGCCAGTGTGCCTGACCCTCATCAGTTCTTGAACCTGACAGAAAAGAAGCTATTGAAAGAGTGAGTATTTAACTAAGATTAGAGAAAATGGAAGAAATCACAAGGAAATAGGTTTATTTTATTTATTTATTTTTTGAGATAGAGTCTCACTCTGTTGCCAGGCTGGAGTGCATTGGCCTGATCTCAGCTCACTGCAACTTCCACCTCCCGGGTTCAAGCGTTTCTCCTGCCTCAGCCTCCCAAGTAGCTGGGATTACAGGCATGTGCTACCACGCCCCACTAATTTTTGTATTTTTAGCAGAGGCGGGTTTTCATCATGTTGGCCAGGATGATCTCAATCCCTTGACCTCATGATCTGCCTGCCTCAGTCTCCCAAAGAGCTGGGATTACAGGTGTGAGCCACTGCCCTAAGCCTATTTATTTATTTTTTGAGACGGAGTCTCACTCTGTCACCCAGGCTGGAGTGCAGTGGTGCGATCTCTGCTCACTACAGTTTCTGCCTCTGGGGTTCAAGCGATTCTTCTGCCTCAGCCTCCTGAGTAGCTGGAATGACAGGCACTCCCGGCTAATCTTTTGTATTTTGATAGAGACGGGGTTTCTCCATGTTGCCCAGGGTGGTAGCAAACTCTTGAGCTCAGGCAATTTGCCCACCTCGGCCTCCCAAAGTGCTGGAATTACAGGGGCGAGCCACCCCGTCCAACCAGACAGGTTTATTTTAAAAAATTATTTGGCTGGGTGCAGTAGCTGAGGCCTGAATCCCAGCACTTTGGGTGGCCGAGACGAGGCAGGTGAATCGCCTGAGGTCAGGAGTTCTAGATCAGCCTGGACAACGTAGCAAAACCCTGTTTCTACTAAAAATACAAAAATTAGCCGGGTGTGGTGGTGCATGCCTGTAGTTCCAGCTACTGGGAAGGCTGAAACAGGAGAATAGTTTATATCCAGGAGGCAGGGGCTGCAGTGAGCAGAGTTCGCAGCACTGCATTCCAAACTGGGCGACAGAGCCAGACTCTGTCTCAAAAAAAAAAAAAAAGAAAAAGAAACTTTAGCTTTTGTTACTTTTTGTTACTTTTTTTTCAAAAAGTGAAAACCCTACCCTACCCTACTCTGAAATGGTAGCCAACAATGAAAGGCAAACTTCAGACTAGGGAAATATTTTATAGATAATGAGCTTAATATTTTTATTATATAAATAGCACACAGAACTGAAAACAAACAGTAAGAACCCAATAAACAGTCAAAGGATGTAGATAAAACACAATAAACACAGGACATTTTGTATCTCACTAGTAATAAAAAAAAAAGTACAAAGTAAAAGATAATTTGTAGCCTTTCAACTTTGAAGTTTGAAAAGCTGGTAACACTGAAGGCTCATGTTGATGTGAGGAAGGAGTAGTCCCATGTTCTGGTGGAAAAATGATTTGCTAAAGATCTTTTAGAAAGCAATTTGGCAGTATGCATCAAAGGCTTAAATAATGTCGAGGCCTTTTGACTCAGAGACTCCTCTTATGGGAATCAATTTCAGAGACGTAATCCTAAATTAGGATAAGGCTATATGCGCCAAGATTTCTGAATAATTTTTTTTTTTTTTTTTTTTTTTGCGCTGGGCTCATGCCTTTAATCCCAGCATTTCCAGAGGCCGAGGCAGGTGGATCACTTGAGCCCATGAGTTCGAGACCAACCTGGCCAACATGGTGAGACCCTGTCTCTACTAAAAATACAAAAACTAGCTGGGCACGGTGGCATGCACCTGTAGTCCCAGCTACT